ATAATATATTACTTCTCTCTAAAAATATACATATTAATTTGTCCAACTTTAATTAACGTCAGGTAAAATGTATCAAACATGCATCTTGTTCCGGCAGACCAGTGAGGGTGGTCATCACGGACTTTTGCCCCTGGGGACCTTGTGCATCCAGTTTTTCTTGTTTTTATTGCTAGCTTAACAAAGTCTCTTGATGACTGTAGCCTGAGACATCCATTTCATTTGGCACAGCAGCTATCCTGAACATGAAGGCAAACGTTCCTTATTCATTTTCACACACACACCACGTAGCCTTTAAAATGAACAGACCAAACTCATATTTGCATTAGGGGATAAGCACAACAGATCCGGATGTTTTCCTATTCTCAAGGTCTTCGTGTGCCTGTGCTGCTTGAGACAATGGGTAGGTGTGATTTACTCGAACCCGCAATACACCGGATTGAACATTACCAAATACCTCTCCCGCCATCCCTAGCAATTCATCTCGAGTTACAGCGTAATTAAAGAGTCTAGGCCTAGTCAAGAACAGTGACTTCACTGCAATGGCTGACAATGGAACCGGATCTGGCGCACCTGATGACTGCCCAAAACTCACCATGTATCCACGAGTCTTCAAGCAAGCCAGTGATCCCTGAATACAACAATAACTCCCAATTAAGGATTCTTTGTCCAAAATACAAATTAGCAAAAGACTGCCTACCCAGAACTCATTATCTACCAGATTATGTTGATCTGGGAGACCAGTTGGGCTTGCAACATTTGAATAAATCATGCCACAACACACTTATTTGAGGGTGTCTTTTCTTCTTCTCTTTTAATTACTGATTACCAACCATTTGCACTACCACAATCACAATGTAACTAACTTTAGGGTCTATTAAGGAAGAGTGATTTCAGGTCTAAGAATTTAGTAAATAAAATATAACTAGATTGACTGATCCGACATAAAAGCCTTTTGTCAAAATCCAACTCCTAACTTTAAAGCATTCCGTCTAAATGGAACCCCTCATCTGTTAAAAAATTCATAAACCTGGCTCAAATTCAAAAACAACTGGTTTCATAGGTCTGGTCTAGCATTGAGAAACTTCTGCACCATGTTAAGGGGAAGCCACTCATGCAGAATTTGAACAGTGTATGATCTCTCCCTAAACACCCTTCATTGTGTTTTTGTTCATTTGTAGAAAAAAGAAAGAAGAAAAGTATAGCTTACCTCAAAAGTATCCTTCCCTACAGAATCATAAACGACCTCGACCCCATTGTCAGATGTTATTTCTTTCACTCGAGCAACAAAGTCCTCTTCCTTATAGATTATGACATGGTGACATCCATCCTCCTTGGCTTGAGCTGCCTTCTCTTTAGTAGATACAGTTCCAATGACAGTGGCACCAAGGGCATTAGCCCACTGGCATAAAAGGGATCCAACTCCACCAGCTGCTGCATGGACAAGGACTGTGTGTCCAGGTTCAACCTGGATAACAACACTCAAAGTCAGACCTAAAAACAAAAGCAACATAAGTTTCAAATTTTTGAAACATATATAACATTAGGAAAGAGGATGGGCTATGTTAAGCATGCAATTGTAGAATGAACCGAAATTAAGATTGAAGCACTTAGTTGATTACACGTTGCTGGTTTACAATAGAGCTTGTTTTTTAAGGTGTACTATCTTGATGGTTCGGACATTTTACTCATTGAATTCATACTTGGTGGTTATGTTTTTTTTTCTTTCCACAGATTGTCCGGTGGAACGGAATCAAGAAGTGCACCACAAATGAAAAAGTGAAAGAGAACAGGAATGGTAGTTTTATCTTACATCAGATAATGATAGGACATGTTTTAAAATTTATAGTCTCAAAGGAACAAAAATAAATAGGGAGGGAGAGAGAGAGCTCCTCAACTCCCATGAGTGCTCATGATTAATAAATGATAAAGACTAACTCAAACACAACTGAGCATACTTTGTTAAAACAGGGGCAAATCTGCCCAAAAAGTTTTACAATGACAACAATAAAGATCAAAACAGTATTAACAGTAATGAAAATTCTCCTTGACAGGAAAAGTCATAGGTGCATGCTAATAGCTCTAAAAAAATGTTTTGCAATGCCACACGCATATTCAAGGAATATTAAAACTAGCATGGGCTAAAATATCACAACCAGGATGTGGTTATCTCGTGTTTTGTAATTCAAACTATCTTCATTTACAGACTTAATGTGTGGTTAATGACTTCCTGAAATTCCAGATGCTGCTGCATAAATATAAAGCTACCTTGAAACAACTGCGTAGTAGAAACTGAGCTGTCATACCCTTGAGCAAGAGGGATGCAGCAACAGTAGGATCAATGGAAGGAGGAACAGGCACAATTCTGTTTGCAGGAAGGATCTGCTCTTCCGCATATGATCCCATTGGCTGACCAGCATAGGCTACAAGATCTCCAACTTGCCTGCCTGTGAGACCTGGTCCCACAGCTGTCACAACTCCACAAGCCTCAACACCTGAAATCAGTTTTGATTTGTAAATAAATTGTGTAAATCCATTATCAAAGCCCAAAAAAGTTTTATATGTAAATATATACAACAAATCTAACAATGGAAATCGTTATCTGATGTCATGCTCTGCATTCTTGTATTAGGTTGTATTAGGTTCACCCCAATCGTTCCTAACCATATTTCAAAAAATATACTCTCATGGTAAAGGTTTATTAGAAAAACCAAAGTTTTTAAAAAGAACATGAAGTCAAAAATTGAATAGAAGTCAATCTTGGTTGAACTGTATCTTCATAATCTTATATGGTAAAGGTGCTGTCTTAAGATAAGTTTACTTAAGTTGTGCTTTAGCTTCTAACGTATCTTTGGTTGGAGTAGTTTTAGATGAATCTTTCTAGCTTTCTGCTTATAATGAGCAGGTTCTCTCTTTGTTGTATAATCGAGGATAGCTTTTCCTCTTGATTATCAATACAAATGTTTCTATTCAAATAATAATAATAATAACAATCTTAGAAATGCAGCAAAACCTGGGGTGTAGGGGACCGTAGCAGCCTTATAAATGCCTTTCCGGAAGTATACATCAACGAAATTAAGCCCAATGGCCTTGTTCTTCACACGAACCTCTCCCTCCTTTGGCTCTCCTACTTCCACATCTTCCCATTTCAAGACCTAACACCATCACATGACAAAAATAAGTAAAATGACGATGAAAGTAAAGGAATAATGGCATTTAGCTGAAAAATATGGGAGATCAAAGATAAATTTTCTTTAAGCAAAACTAGACAGAAACTGATACTGCCTTACCCACAAAAAAGTAATGGATACTGAATAATCAGTGTCAAAAACTATATATTGTTTTCTGATCTACTGGCCAACTTATGTGAAGGATTATTTATGAAGACAGTTGATACACTATACACAAACTGCGAATTGAATTCAGCAATCTCAAATACTTTTAACACTGGTAGAAATAAAGACAAGTAACCAGTAATTATACACAAGTGAGTTTTGATAATCTGATAAAAATAAAAAGCACAATCCAATAGCCGGCCAATTCAAACATAAAAGCATATGTATGGAAACAGAGAGAGAGAGAGAGAGAGAGAGAGACCTCAGGTCCACCAAGCTCATGGACTCGAATGGCTCTGACCATCTTTGCTACTGATGGTGATGCTGATTCAGTGGCAAGTGCTCTAACTACTGGTCCTAAGTGTAAAGGGTAAACACTTGCTCAAATTCTTATTGTTGCTCAAAATCTGTGAAAAATGTCTTGCAGTGGTATGAAGCACACAGCAATTGTGTTGAATTTGGAGTGCAGCGGTTCTGGAATCTTATTCTGATTGGAAGTAAAGCCATTTACCGTACTGATTTGATCCTTGATTTGTCCGACATTGGAACTGTACGAGGCTGGAAACAGAGACTCAAAGGCCCACATCACATGTAAAAAAAGACTTCCTTAATCATATGGTCCTGTCTTGGGCTCATTTCATACATTTTGAAGCCCATAAGTGATGATTTTTGGCCCAAATATAGCCCACATTGATCATATGCTTCAAATAACCCAAAAATAAAAAAATATACCTAACACTAAAAACTAACACAATTGTTTCTTAAGCTTTGCTACAAACAACATAGTAAATGTGACAACTTTTTACACGTACATATTAGAAACAAAGTGTGGACATTTGGATATCATTATGAATTGCTCCTCAAATAGAATTTAAAAACCAAACACGACATAGTTGATAGCTACATCAATTAACCCACAAGATTACCAATAAATTCTAAAGCCAGTATGCATATAAAATGTTATGTTCGCCACCAAGTTGTGTGACATATTGATCAATTGGGCAGCTCCTGCATTTTTATGTGCAACAGAAAGTTAATTTGCTGATAAAAACAAAACAAAATTAACCAACTCTCTCTCCTGCCTCTAGGGTGGGAGTAGAGTAGAGTAGGGGACCACTCCAATATGAAAAGGAGCACGTGACCTCCAAGTTATTTCCTTCCCACGCCACAATTTTCGCTCCATCTCTCTCTCTCTCTCTCTCTCTCTCTCTCTCTCTCTCTCTCTCTACACATTTTTCTAATTTCACTCTCAAAAAAAAGTAAAGCTTTTTAAAAAGACCAACTATTAAATGCTAGAATATTATTGTTCCCTACGCTCGACCAAAATGCGCGTCCGAAGCGACTTGCGTCCATGCAGAATCGGCATGTACCAGCTGAAGGGCAAAATGGTCCTGAGAAATTTTGTAATAAAAAATTTTAAAATGCGATTTTTTAAAAATCAACAAAAATGCGAGAAAACATATATATATTCCTATCCGGGCAAAATAATATTTTGTTATTTTCTGTTATGCCGTTTTGGTCTATATATAGTGCCTGCGGTGAATAGTGTGTGTTGTGTGTGTTTTGTTTGGAGAGAGAGAAAGAGAGGGAGAGAGAGGGTGATGACTGATGAGTGTACGTGGGTTTATATGTAAGTGGTGACTCTGGGTCTTTCCCATTTCTCAGAAGATGATGAAGTACTTGGAAAAGAAGCAAGAGCAAAATAAGGCACCAAGCCCTTGTTTGCCCAGACATGCTCTGCCCACAACTGCCACTCCATCGCCCATCTGTTTGCTACTAGGTACACCACCTTTTTTATCTTCTTCTTCTTCTTCCCTGCTTCTGATTCGTTTTTGGACCATTATCTGCAACTGTTTGATTCATTTTGTGCATTTTTATTGGTTTTGCAGAGGCTATAGATCACATTAAAGTGGGCTCTTACTATGAAATCGACCGCTCTAAGCTCCCTCCCAGAACCACCCCAGAACAGCTCAAGGCGGTTCGGGTCGTCATGGTACTCGCCTTCACCAAAACCCACAAATAGTTTCCACTATTCTTGTTTCTTTTTCAGATTTGATTTTGATTTCATATGGGTTTTGAGTTTTGGGTCCATTTGTGTATGCAGGTGAGTGAGAAGGGTGCGCTCAAAGTGGCTTTGAGGTTCCCAAGCATTCACTCTCTCCACACTCACATCACCGAAGGAGGCTACGCAAAACCATTGGCCAAGCAGATTCCAGCGCTTAACGAGAAGTACGTGATGCCAGCAGAAATGGCTTCAGAGGTGCTTTACCGGAGAATCCCACCTCAGGAAATTGCAGATCGGAGCAACATTTGGAGCTTCTGGGCTGCTACACCCTCTGCGACAAATTACCAGAGAATAAGCTCTTCACCGAGCCCAGCAGTCAGCGGTGAGGTCATGAACAGGAATGTGGTTTCCAAAAAGGGTCCATGCTGGTCGGAGCTAAAGTTCACTGGGATGGTGACGTGGGGTAAGCGCCGGCAGGTTCGGTACCTGCGCAGGCACGAGCCTTCACCGAGCTCTAGTACTGACGAAGAAGAAGAGAAGGGGAAGGAGCTAACAGAGCTAGAGGAAAATGGTGATGATTTCTATGTGGATGATGAGAAAGCAATAACTGTGATAGAGGAAGATGATGATATTGAAGAAGAAGAAGAAGATGTGAAAACAGAGGACGAGGCTCCTCCTGTTGTGCCCTGGAAGATGAACCTTAGGAGTAGGAAGAGGAAGCGCCAAGATCACCATACAAGGCCCAAGAAAACCACAAAGAAATCAAAATCTATAACAACAAGTCAAAAGCAGAATCAAGTTGTAGCAGTTCCCGATCGGAGTAACAAGAAATTGGTAAAACACACAGTGGCAAGATGGTCTGCAGGGAGGTGAGGACTCTGTTCTTAATTAGTTATATTAGTGATTATGATCTTTGTTTAAGAAGTCGGGTTTTGTTAATATGTGTTCATGCTTTGATTTGGGTTTAAGGTACAAGGCTGCAGAAGAAAACATGCTGAGGGTGATGAAGGCCAAGGGTGCTAAATTTGGGAGCCCAATACTGAGGCCAGCGCTGAGGTCTGAGGCAAGGAAGCTGATTGGGGATACGGGTTTGTTGGACCATTTGCTCAAACACATGGCGGGCAGGGTCGCGCCAGGTGGAACCGAGAGGTTTAGGCGGCGCCACAATGCAGATGGAGCCATGGAGTATTGGCTGGAGAGTGCTGATCTGTTTGATATCAGAAAACAAGCTGGGGTTCAAGACCCTTATTGGACCCCACCACCTGGGTGGGAGCCTGGTCATGATCCCACTCGAGACCCCATTTGTGTAAAAGAGATTCATGAGCTTAAGGAAGAGATAACCAAGATAAAAAGGTGAACAATAAACCCAGTTAATGTTATTCATCTTTGATGTCCTCTGTGTTTAATGTATAATGTGTATGTGAGTCCCTTAATCTAGCTCTCTGCTTTTCTTCTTTTTCTTTTGGCAAATTAATCTAGCTCCTGTTTAAGTTGGTGGTTGTATGTGTTTGTGATATTTCTTGCTGTATATGCAGGGTGGTTCATGTGTCCAAGAATAAAGAGGATAATCTAGCTTTGGTGACCGCGTCAAATTCTTGTTTGACAAGTCTTGACTGGGAACATGATGGTTCATTGATCCACCAAAAGGTGAACCAACAAGTTTGGACATTTCAATTTAGTTTGTTCATGTTGATTATGGCTGCTTTAATTAACTGCTACTAATTGTTCGATGTGATTTTGCAGGAGTATGCAGTACTGCTAACAATGCAGCAAAATAAGATTAGAGAACAACTTACGGAAATGTCTCAATCTCTGTCTCGAATGGAGGTACACCAGATCATGATATTAATTAATTATCCCTTTATATCTCTAATCGCACACTTAATGTAATCTAAACATATAATTAATTACTTTCTTACTGCCTTCAGTATATTGGTCACTTTCAATTATTCATCAACTTTGGCTGCTTTAAATATAATATTATGTTCAAAAAGTTTGGACCTTTTAATTTTTATTAACTTGTTTCATGGTTCAACTTGATTATGGCTGCTTTAAATAATATTAAGTGCTACTAATTGTCGTTTGTTGGGATTTTGCAGGAGGAGCATGCAGAGCAAATCCTTAAGAAAACTAAGATGGAAGAACAACTAATGGATGTTTCTCAATCTTTGTCTGAAATGAAGGTAGGATGATATAAATTGCCCCCCCTGGTTATCTTAACTTGATATGTCTTAAGTTCATTAAATGTGATATGAATATATAATTAATCACTTCTTACTGCCTTCCAGTATAATGATCAATTTTATTCATTTACACAATAAAATTGGTCTCTTTCATGTTAATTAAGTATGTAGTAGAAGCATGTATGCATATTATAGCATTTGATGGATATGGAGGTTAAAATATTAATGCAGGAACAAATTGGGATCCTGAAATCAAGCAGGGAAGAACCACTAAGTATCTCAGACGCAGCACGGCCATCAGACACTGATCAAAGAGCAGCGACAATATCAAAGGGTGGGGAGCAAGAAGAAGAAGAAGATAAGCTTGAAGGAAGAGACAATAATGCAGCAGCCACAGCAACTCACGAGGACAAGGCAGCCAAAATACAGAGACTGAGGAGTGGTTTCAGGATATGCAGGCCACAAGGGTCCTTTCTGTGGCCAAACATGGGCATCTCTACCCCACCCTCAGCCTCCTCATCCTCAGCCACCCACTTCATCCCTATACCTCCTCAGCCCCAGTCTGGGTCTCCTGTCAAGCCTGTAGCTGAGAAGCGCCCAGTCAACACCGCCACTTTATGCAAAGTGAGCTATAAACCCTCTGCCTCTCCTCCTATTTTTCTTCCACCTGGGCCCCCCTCCAAGAGAAGTGTCACCGTCACCAACACCCTCCTCATCAACCTTAATGAGCTCCCCAACTCTAACCCTAATAACGTCCAAAACGCCTCTGAAACTAGCACTGCATTGTCTAGGACCCTCACCTACCAGAGAAGACACCATCATCATCAATATCCACGTGTGAGTACTAAGATGTCTCAGCCCTTGTTGTGAATTATTAATTTCCTCTGTTTTTTTTTCAATTTTTTATTTATATATAGTGCTAATAATTAAGAAGAAAATTAATTACCCCCTTTTCATTTAATGCGTGTGTCTACAAACAGATGTTGAAGGCTAAGACAGAGGACGGGGAAGATGGAAATGCAAACAATGAGTCTTCTCAGCAGCAGCAGCATGATGAGCCGACAAGGTGGTGCTCTTCTTCATCTCCTTCCACTACTGCCAGTGCCACGTGGATGGGACAGAAATGGTGGCTTGATATGGCAACTCCTAGCCCTTCTGTGGACAACTCTACCAAGGGTTGATTCAACTTGGTCGTTTCATTAATCTTCAGTGGAATGGAAGCTCTATATATATAGATATTATAATAATAGGAAAATATCATTAGGAACTTTACATCAATATTGGGGGGGTTTTTTTATATTCACCAAATATATATATATATATATATATATTCGGGGGGTTTACTGGCTTTTTGTCTAAAATAGCCATTTTTGTACTGGGGCACACACGTGTGGTTATTGTGGGAAAGAAAATATTAATATATCCTATTTTATATATAAGGAAATGATATATCATATGGACTTTAATTTGGTGAATTTTGGTCGTGCATGTTGGTGGTGGTGCATATGGTAATACGTTTATTTGATTGATATCATGCAGACATGACATGAAGTATAAAGACAAATAAATTGCGTCCATCCATATGTTAACATCCTTTTAAATTAATGACTAGTAGTGACCAAAAAGGCCCGGGGACCCCACTCTCTAAAAGTTTTGTCTTTTGGTCATATTCTCTCTAAAGTTTAGGAATTGAAAACTTGTTCCTCTCTCTCTAAAAGTTTTGCTCTCTGGCAAGTTTGATTTATAAAGGAAATAGGCTCAGGAAAGATTGAAAACTTGTTCTTTTCTTTATGAAACAACAAAAGTGTAGGACTTCAACATAAAAGAAAAAGACAGAAAAAACAGGTGTAAAGGAGCTTTATAAAGGCACAGCCGGCCCACATACATCCTAAACGATGTTCAATTCTTATTACAGTATATGTGTTTTGGTAATCTCATTATCCGTACACTCATGAACTATGGAATCTAAAACAAATCAAATCCTAAAGCCTTGCATATCCACCATTTGAGCCGTGGATGCCAATTTCTTGGAAATTGACACAAAGGGAGAGTGCGGCTGTGAACCTCTCAATATCGTCTATTGTGTGCGTTGCGCTCAATGTCACGCGTAGCCTGTTAAAAAAGTATCAAGAAAAAGATGTAAAGTACACAATGAAACAACAATAATTTCAACACATCCATTGTGGAGGGGAACTAATGTATAGACCCACATTTTTCCCAAGTGTAACAAGTAAGATTTCAATTTCCAAACTTTGTTACATGCATTTTGGACTTATTTTCACTACGACCAATCATTTTTTTATATAATAGGTCGTGTCAATTAACCTTTCGACCTCATGAATACAAGCTAGATGGTAGATTTAACTCAACAGGAATTTTTTTTTTTTTTTTAATCGAAAGATACCTCCATAAAAAGCCAAAACAAGGCCAAAACGAAACGAAACAAGAGAGAGCCCATCCACAAGGGAGAAAGGCAAGAAAGCAAAAGAAAATAAGAAACAACACAAAATACTGCCTACTATACTGTAGCAGAAATGAAGACTTGTCACATACCTGCATGAGTTGGGTGGCACTGTTGGGGGTCTAATTGCAGTCACATGGAAACCAGATTTCAACAAACTCCTGTTCATTGATGATAAACAAAGTTAGATACAGTTGTAGAATGATCTCCAAATCACACAAACAGATAGAGAGGGAAACAAAACTGGCTTGCTTGCAGAGCCTTCTCTTCGCTCCCTACAATAAGAGATATTATGGGACTATTTATGGGGATTCCAGTGAGAGCACGAAAGTCTTGCACCCGATTCCAAATTTCCCTTCTACGCCATGTTTCCTTTCTTGCCACAATAAGAGCAGCTGCATAGTTATATTTGTATTGTTAACAAAGGGAATAACTTCAATAAAGATAAGAAAATAAATGCTATAATCATGGCATGTGAATACTGCAAGATAAATTACAGCCACAGTAATGTAGAAGACTGCTCAATATTATGATATTGTTCCATTCCGTTATGTGAACAATCATACATGGGGCTTACAATACAAGCTTGAGGCAAGCTCGAGCCGGCTCCTGAACTTGGCTCATTCGAGTGATTATTATATATGTTGGCTCTAAAAACCCATAATTTGATATCACATTCAGAACTGGGCTTCTCTCCTAAACCATGAATTCATCTGATACTTACTACGAGATCTACACTCTT